TCAGCAGGCACACAGATGTGTAACTTGACCTTCCTCTATGCAAAGTATCTGAAAGCTCGCCACAAAGAGTGATAAAGTTCACCTGCACCACATTGCCACACAATGGGAGGGAGGAGCTAGACAGCCTTGAAGCGGAAACGGTTTCACACTGGCTGACAAGTCTGGTTCCACCCAGGGCTGCCCTGAAGGGCAATACACCACCCTCCCCCATATATACACACTTTTATTTTCGCATGTGCATATTTGCTTTGCTCATCAACAAACATCTTTGCAGAGATCTCATTTCTGTCTTCCTTCCTGCTCTGCATGATGTGCTCTGTTCTCTCCGCTTCTCTCCTCACATGATAAAATTGCTCTGATCAAAAAATGTTGTTGCCTAACAACAAGGCAAGGAAAGTTCCCCTCCTGTGTAACTGCAAAAAAGCTTTCCAGCTCTCACATGATCCCTGCCAAGTTAACCATTTACAGTGGGGAGGAAGAGAACAGAGAGGCTTACCTCTGGGTAAACAGGGTGGTGTGCTTACTGTTTGACCAAGTTAACCCAGCTATTCACTACCCCACCTCTCTGCTCATTAACACATGACATGCAGAAACATGAAACTCGTCAGGCTACAAGTCACCAGGACAAAGCTCCTTTCTCCTGCCACAAAAAAATGCTTGCAGAACTGTCAGAGCAGTGTTCCCATTATGAAACCGCTCTGTCACAAGATGACCGTCTCACAGGAATGCTGTTGTGACACATGCCTGCTGTTGACACAAGGGTAAAACATTAAACTGCTCACATGCACACACACACACACACACACACACACACTTCAGCTGCCAAAAGGGCGGGAGCTTTAACCGGTCCAGCACTGTTTGGTTACCAGTTTGCATTTATTTTTCCCTTTGGCTGCCTCCGTCCTCTGCCACCTCCCAGCAGTCATCAGGTTTATCAAAGGCAGAGTCCTCTCTCTAACAGCAGCCAGGTGCAGTACAATGTAATGATTCACACAGCAGACTAAATACTCCACAACAGATTGCCTCACGTGTTTAGAGCTTTGTGGAGGTCACCCTGTGTGTGTGTTGGATGTCATGTGGTGCTGGTCTCTGGCTGGGTGCTGGTGCAGAGGGTTCAGTAGGAGTTCAGCACAGATTCGTTATTCATACATTTCTATGAATCAAAAGAGAGCACCAGGGAGCCTCTTCTCTCTTAAAAGGTGCTTAAATGTTGCTCCACTATTTTACCTCAGTTTGTATTTTTTTCCTTTTTCAAGTGCGGCGTAACATAATTAAAGTGGAAGTTTATTTATTTATGCTCTCAGTGGAGATAGATTTTAAAAAGTGTTCAGTATAGTGTGTGTTTCTCAGATTTCAGCACTGGCCTGTGTGAAGCACAGGTAATATATCGTGTAATTATTTACAGAGGGTTGTCTTCAGTTCAATGTGTGTTGGCAACACTTTGAAAAATCCATGCTAAACAATTCCAGGAAAGCCAGCCACCTGGAAATCTCATGACTTCCTGAATCTAATTCCAGGCTGAGCTATCAGACGGTCTGACTAGCGGCTTTCACTGAGGGGTGTAAACAGTGAATGTCAGACATGTTTGCCAGAGTCAGTGTTGAAGCAGGCATTAGTACTCATGTAATTCTGCAGTGAACTCTGATGCCCCAGCAAAGCTGTGATTATATTTTTTCCCCTGTCTGACAGATTTATAGTGCACTGTGTACTCCAAGAGAAGGCTGGCACTGGGTAGACTCATGAACAGGCCTCTGCATGCTCTATATAGTCTATTCTTGTTTCCAAATGCAGTCTGCACTTTACTCCAACCATATAATAACAGACCTTAGCTAAGGCTGGCAGTTCAGATAGCCTGCAATTGCAACGTGAAATACGCACAGAGCCAACAAGGCAACAGAAAAACAGAGCAAAGGTATGACACCACCAAGGGAGAATCCAGAACAAAATCCCCTCGCATGTCGCAGCGTGCCGTGTTGGCGGATCGTGACCTCATCCACAATTTACGCACAGCCGCTTCATGCTGCTTTGTTATCTTCAAATCTTGCAAACCAGCACATTCCAACCCTTAGTGGCAACAAAAAAAATGCCAGGGTGCAGATCCTGCTGGGCTGTGAGAAACACAACGAGCAAATAAACAAATATTTAACCAACTGAGCAGCAGCCCACTTCAGAGAGTAAAAACACACAGACAGATACAAGCACATTCATGAACAAAAGGCCAGAGATGTATATAGGTCAGCTGTGGACTCTGATTGGAGCTTTGTGTGTCTGCTTACTCAGCAGCCTGCACCAAGCTTAGCACAAAGCTTAGCTTGCTTTCAGTCTTTTTTTAAATAGACCACAGGGTAGTAAATAGCTACGCGGAGGATTGCAGCCTTCACAGCTGATTGGCTTGATGCTCGCTTGACATAAACAGGAAGCTAGTCGTGCTAGTCAGAGTGGGGAGCAAACAAAGATGGAAAAACCAGAGACAAGCAGAATGTGGTGGCAAGACAGAGAATGTGTAAAAGCCTGAGGGATTTAGATGTAAGAGGAAAAAAAGGTCTTTCTGGTTGTAACAAGCCATGTGACTCATGGAGGAATTCAGCCTGTGATTCAGTTCTGTGCATTGCCAGCAGCCAGTGTGCATAGATAATGGTGATGATGTGTGTTCAGTAGGGCGCAAAATGACGCCTCTCATAAACTCCAATAGTATCATAACATTTATTCTGTATCTGCAGTGGTTTAATATGTTTGCATTTACATATCATTAAGCTTTTTTTCATCTTTACATTTATGTATATCTAATTTGTTTAATGTGAATAATATGAATGATCCTAGAGCAACTTCAAATAATCCACGGGTGCTGTGACTTTAAAAACCATGTCCCACATTTATTTACACCTTTTACACCCAGAGGATGACTTCAGCCCCTAATTGCACACCTCGTTTTCAAGGATAAAACATGAGACTTCAGTTAAAGTGAAAATTTATTCATGTTATTATTTTTATCAGGTTGCACAACTTTCTTTTTATGCAAGTGATGCATATAGTGACTAAAATGATTTCACCTCCTGTAATTCACAATTTTGGGTAAACACTACACAAGTTCTGTTAGTTTATAATTTTGTTTTTGATAATAGCATGATGTACTTATTTAACAAGCTCTGTATTAGCTGTATTTATAATCACCCAGGCAGGAACTCACAGTGTAAGCTGAAGATGACAGATTGTGTTAAATGCTATGTCCTGTGATAGCTAACCACTGTGAAGTCTGCTAGCTCTGCATGGAAGCCACCGGGTTGTTGCATGCTTCTCCGAGCTGCAACGGGGCAAAGCACAGAGTGGAAATAATGAGTGACATATCAGCCATGTTAAACAAAGTGCTTTTAGAAGAACACCCCCTCTCCCCCTGTCAACCTACATCCCCCATGCCTGACTCTGAAGGTCAGATGAGAAACAAGAGAGCAGCACTACCACCTCTGACTGACTGGGTCAAACAGGCCCTGAGAGGAAGGGGGTAGCAGGGTGTGGGGTGTGGCCCACTGAGCATGCCCAGGGAGGAGGAATGCCATGTGATAGCAGCACAGTGGGCTCTTCCATCTGTTGATGTAGTGTGCACTTTTTGCCCCGGGCCCTTTTCCATCCAGTCTAGTGAGCAGCCAGATCAATTTACTGCGGAATGAACACAAAGTCAGCGTCTGATGCACACACATAATCTCACATTCTTTATGCACAGCAGCGACACAGAACCCTGTACTGCAGCAAGCAAGCACTCATAAGAATTTACTCATGCATGCAAAACATAATAAAACAGAGACTGAATCAGAGTGTGATTTATTATTCAGGGAAACACCCTCTCCGCTCCAGGTGACGCTCATAAAGCCTCATCTTCTAACCTCACTGCACTTAAAAACACTTAAAAACAGGAGGGCTGATATTCTGGCTACTTTCCTCCATCTATATTCCTGTAACACAGTGCTGACTCATCAGATCTACAGGAGCTGAGATGCTTTAATCTATGATGATGGCAGTTTTAGGATGAATGGCACACAGCGACAGTTACATTGTTGAGCTTCGTGCCGTTTCATTACCAGTGACGTGCGGTGAGGTTGACAGCTGGTGAGGCACTAACTCTTTTACAGTCAGATTTACAAATACAAATTGTCTGTTAACAGACAATGCGTTATGTTTTATATCTCATATCAGTATTCTTCACACAAACATGACCCATATTTAATTTGAGGTTAAAATTTATTCCAATTGAGCTTATTTCTAACTAGAAATAATAAAAGTTTATGGTCTTACCTTTACTTGTACTCGAAATCCATTTGTCAGCTGGTATGTATTACAAACCCTTTTACCGTTCGAATCCAATATTAAAACAAATTTTTTTCAATAAAGAAGATCCTTCTGGACAAAAATGTCCAGACTGTCAAAAATGTTTTGATTGAAAGTCCAGATTTGCGAATTTTCTCAGCTTGGAAATGTAATCTTCCATTTTGATAAGGCGGATTGTAAAGGAAATATAAACAAGCACGAAGAAGATTGTAGGTAGCACAAGAATCTGTGGGCTCACTGGCGCCCTCTGCCTTGAGGCAGGCGTACTGTTTGCCTCACCGAATAACTTTTTAACTGGGTTTTATGGTTAATCTGCGAGCCTAAACACGTTACAGAACTACATTTTATACA